TAGTTCAATTGCACGGTATATTGCAACATGCAAAGGACTTTCACATGTACTTGAAACACTGAGCCATCTTTGTGGTTGCACAACTACTAAAGTAGATGTTTTCCTCTGTTTCCATTGAAAGTGTGGCAGGAATAAAATATTTGCCATTGAGTCTTTTGTATAAGCCATCCTATTCCCATGCTTTTCAGCATAGACTAAATCCCACCTTAATCTAGGTGCTCCTTTAAACACCTTGTACATCTTGTATAACCTATCATTTAAGCTAAAATTAGGATTCACAGTCATAGACTTGTTAATTCCCTTTGTAACAAGGTGTGTTGTTATCAATCTGTGCCGATGATCCTTTAGTTTGGGCTTGCAATGCACAGGTTCTTAGAGTGAAAGCAAAGCATAGGTGGGCTGGCTTTCAGGACGTTATTTTCTCTTTTCTGCAACAGCTTACACCTCAACAGTCTCACAAGAAGCCGCGTGATAAAGTTTTGGCATTTGGGAAACAAAATTCAACTTTGCAAAATGGTATGGACCAGCAGAGATCTTTCTGAACTAATAAGTGAGACAGAAAATAAGCAATATTGAAGGGGAAGGTGTATCCCTGATCTTGAACTGTAAAAATGACTTTCTTTTCCTCCTAATCTTTCAATATACTGAGATGGGCTGCATGTTACCCCTCAGTGGGCTCCACTGTCAGGAGTCTAGGCCGGAGAAGAGGGACTAAATGTATCTTTTCAATAACAATAACAAAAACACCCTTTTCACTGAGTATTTTACACAAAAGGTATGTTGTGTGTGTGTATTTGTGGGCACTCATATATTTCCTAGCTCTGTTTACTGACAACACCTAGAAACAATGATCAATCTAATAGTGATGGACCTCCTTAAGGCCCAGATATGGCCTCAAAGTACCATTTCTCACTAAAGGAAACTAGAGAAATGGACATTTCTAGGCTTGAGGTGGGAAATGTACAAGATGTGTTTTGGAACACCTTGTCATACCAGTTAATGAGGAAGCTGTCCAAGACCAACACAACCATGTCACAAACACTCAGAAGTCAACTTGAAGAGGCTTCCGAGTGCCAAAGGGGGAGATTTGAGCAAAAAGGATCATAATTGTAATTATTTGAAATCCATCAAATAAGTTGAAATCCATGACTTAATAATGATGGAATCAGCTCTCTATCTGCAGTTCTGTATCTGTGGATTCAATCAACTGTAGATATTTGGAGCTGGGTATGGTGGCACATACCTATAATCCCAGCTACCGGGGAGGCTAAGACAGGAGGATCACAAGTTTGAGGCCATCTTATGCAAATTAGTGAGACCCCCATCTGAAAATAAAATTTTAAAAGGGCTGGGGCTGTCACTCAGTGGTAGAGTGTTTGTCTAGCATGATCAAGGCCCTGGGTTCAGTCCCCAGTACCACAATCAAAACAAAACTGCATCTGTACTGAACTTTTTTTTCTTGTTCTTATTCCTTAAATATTCAGTGTAACAGGTGTTTATATAGCATTTACATTGTTAGGTATCATAAGTAATCTAGAGATGGCAAAGTATCCAGGAGAACATATGTACATGGGTTATGTGCAAAAGCTATGCATTTTGAATAAGGGACTTAAGCATCTGTGGATTTTGGTATCCATGGGGGTTCCTGGAATCAATCCCCTCTAGGTACCATGGGCTGACTGTATGTTAAAAATTGGCCTCCTTCAGAGGATGATGAGAAGCCAATTCATTTTTGTGAAAATTGCTAGATGAAGGGAGAATCAAATATTCTACTTTTCTATGTGAAGGTGCCACTGAGCAATCAAATAGTAGATGAGGGAACCGTGTTTCCCATAAAAGCATTCCAATGGAAGAATAAATAAATGGAAAAGAAGTGAAAGAACTAAAGTCTCACCATCTAGCAACCCTCTTTGAAGGAACAGATCCTGGCATTGAGCATCCACAGCTGTTCTCATCACAACAAGAGAGACAACCAGACGTTAGTACATGGCTCAGGATGAAAGAACAAATCACCACCTAGAATCTTGCCAAAGATCAAACGGGAGACTGACCAGTTATCTGTATCCAACTCCTATTTGCAGGAAATCTAGAAGACAGAGGAACACGTTGTCTTATACCACAAATGTACAATCAGCAAAGGCCAGATGGCAGGAGGTCTATAGGTGAAATACTCAGATAAGTAATAAGAACAAGAAACTGAAGAAGTAGGGAACCGATGTAACACCACAGGACATATTGAAATTTACAAATGGTTAATATTCTGTTGTGGTGTTTAAGGATGAACACTCAGTTTTTTTGTTTTTTGATATGGAATTGAAGCTAGAGGTGCTTTACTAATGAGCCACATCCCCAACCCTTTTTTATATTCTATTTAGAGACAGGGTCTCACTGAGTTCCTTAGGGCCTCGCTAAGTTGCTGTGAGGCTGACTCTGAACTTTCCGTCCTCCTGCTTTGGCCTCCTGAGCCACTGGGATTACAGGCGTGCGCCACCACACCCCGCGACACTGAGGTTTTAACCAGGGAGAAAACACCAACAACACAGAATACAAAAGCGTCACTAAATTAGGTTACTTTAGAAGTCAGGGTAGTGATGAGCTTGGACAGGAGGAAGCCACATGGACCAGAATAGGACACATGGAAGCCACCTGGACCAGACTTTGATGGTGAGTGGAAAGTTCTCTCTTGGCCTGGTTGGTGGCTGCTCAGGAGTTCACCTTGGAATACCTTACAAGTTACTCAGCCACTTTGGGTGGTTTCTGGAATCCGTGTTTTATTTAATAATGGAAAGGTTAAAAGAGAAGAAGAATATAAGAATAGCAGTTTTAAATTCACCTTTTTACCAATGCAATAAAACGCTTAGATAGTCAAGAACACTTTGGGTCCAGATACAATATAATGGGATGATAAAGAACATGAGCTTTGGAACCGCCCCACCAAATCACACAGCTTGAACATTTTCAGACTGTGTAAACCTGGGCAGGTTACTCAGCCTCTCTGTTGTCTCCGCAGTTTTCTCTTCTACGACATGGAGGTTGTTGTAGTTCCTACTTCAGAGTGTCTTGGTGAGGTTTAAGTGAGACGATGCCTGTGAACTTCTAGAATACTGTAGACATGCTTAGTAAGGGCTCAGTATGTGATAGGCACATATTCTTCCTTCTTGTTTTATTTCCTGTTATTTTCTTCTCACATGGCAGCACTATCTCTGCCTGAAAAGTCCTGGCCAGGGACTTGGGGGCAGGTCCTCCTATAGTCCTCAACTGGGTCCCCTCTCATCCTATTCTTTCTATTCTGCATTTAAAGACACGAAAGGAGGAATCTGACAGGATGGGTCAGGAAAGATCCCAACTGGGCAGATTCAACCTGCTTAGTGGCCAGCAAGGAAGGAAAGGGACATTTTCCCAGTTCCTTAAACAGCGCCTGACAGAGGTGATGGACATTGCTGAAAGGAGGAGTGAAAGAACTTACAGAACATGATTTAGAAAGCTCTGCTCCAGGATTTCCGTAGTCCATGGCTTTGGTTTTGCTTCCCTCCAGCCCAGCTGTTTCTCTTCCTCGCTGCCCCATTTCCGTGCTCATGAGTCAATTCGTGCCTATGTATCCTCTGGACAAAATGTATGTATTGCACTCATCCTTCCTCCAGAAAGCCAGACGTTGACCCCTGCCCATGCCTGTCAACCAGCTTGTCGCTTTCCTCAGGAGCTCCCTCCTGCCCAGCCAGTCCCTCTTCCTCCAGTGCCCTTCAAATCCTTGCCCCACACCTGGCTCCTTCCCATCCTGTAGTATCAGGGTGGATACTATAGTATCAGTATCCTTTGGAGCAAAGCCTTTCTGGACCAGTCTCTCATTGGTATGTGTCCCTGTCCCTTGCTTGTTGAACCCTCCTGTCTTCCTTCAAAGTACTTGCCATGTCTCTTTCTGTGAACGAATGTGATGAATACATGGAGCAGTACTTGGCCACAAATGCCTAGCTGCAAACTGCCGGAGTGGAGGCGTGAGTGTGAGTGGACTTCTCCATTGTCTCCATCATGACTTTCAGGAAGGTGCCATGACTGCTGAGCTTAGTAGCTGCTGCTCCTTAGTGGGGTTCCATAAATGTTTTCCATAAGTACTTTGCAAATGAATGAATGAACAAATGGATACAATGTGAAGCCTGAAGAATGACCTTCTCATTGAGAGGGGATACCAAGGAGACAGGGAATCCAGGGTAGGGAAGCTCACCAGACTTAAGGAAATAAGCCTTTTATTACCTGAAAGATGTGCCTACAGTGAAAGAGACCACTCCCTGACTTTACTCAGAGAGGGACTGAAAGGGAGGACTTAGGATCAGGACGGAGCCTGTAGCCAAGGATGAGGGCTTCGGGATGGTGAGCAGGATTCCTGGGCCTCACTGGTGTCCAATGGGCAGTCCTTGAAATGCTGATCCTCATGGGCATTTCTGAGGTTTCTGAGAGTGACTGATGCCTCGGTTCCACCAAGGACTCAGCATGGCCCATCCCTGACAGGGTTCATTAGGACTTGGTGTGATATGTACCTGTAGAAAGGCTTGCATTTAAGTCTTGGTTTTGTCACTTCCTGTGTGACCTGGGGGCGAGTTCTCAACTTTTCTTAGATTTGGCTTCATTGTCTATAAATTGACAATTTTCTACCTTCTTTTGCCATTCCGAAGATGAATCAAGATCATGTGAAGTGCCTCATCTCATATTGCTCAAACCTGACTGTAGTCAGAAAAGTCTTTAGGGAATTTAAACTGTGCTCACACACCTGGGCCCAATTGCTGAAGATTCCAATGAAGCAAAACTGGGTTTTTCCAAAAATCAGGTTTAGGAAAGCTAAAAGATGACAAAGCTCAGGCCTGCACTGAGCAATGTCATATATGCAAAGCCACAGACAATGGTAGCTTTTTCATCTACCTCTTCCTCCACTGCCACCACCTCATCCTTTTTCAGGTCCTGCGTGTATGTGTGTCTGAGTGTGTGTGTTTCTTTGTTATTAGGTGTAACATAAGTGGACTGGAGAAGCAGAGCCTTGAAAAACAAGTAAAGGCTAACAATAGACATGTTGAACATTGAATCCAGCCAAAGGCCAGACGAAGGCTGCAGGAGCTGAGGCCTTGGTGCTAATTAGTCAGCCTCAGATATCTGGAACAGCAAATGTGAAGGTGAGAGAGACGGCCCTACCAAAGCAAGCTTTGCATGAAATGACACAGATACACCTTTCCAGTTTTTCTGTATCTTAAAAATTCACTCTGTGCTTAAAAAAATCACTTTTTACTAAAGCTGGAAGCACTCTTAAACAAAGTATAACCACATAGAATAAGAGTTGTAGAATAATGTAATTTTCTAGTGCAATGGAAATTTACAAAGTGGCTCCTGGATAAACACTACTGAGACATTTACATTCATTTATTTATTTAAAGTGTTTATGAAGCACTATTAAATAGGTGTTGGGATATAACAGTGGCAAAAAAAAAAATCCCTACCCTTTTGGAGTTTACATTCTAGTGAGAAAAGACAGGGCATAAAAGAATAAACATAATAAGTAAATCATAAAATGTTAGAATAAGATGAAATGCTATTTAAAGGGTTTTTTGTTTTGTTTTGGTTTGGTTTGGTTTTTTTTTTGCAGCCAGTGCAAGGGCCCTCGGGCATACTGAGCATGTCTGAGGAGCAGCCAAGGCCAGGTTGGTCTCAGTGAAGAGCAGTTGAGGACTAGAGAATGAAGCTAAAGAGAAAATGATGAGATGATGTCAGGTTTTATAGGTCATTCTGAGACTTTGGCTTTTACATTGAGTAGGACAGAAAGCCTACTGGTGGAAGGGTGGTGAGAAACTGAAGGGATAAGACTTGTAGTATAACAGGATCACTCTGCCTGCAGCCTTGAGCATATATTTTAGGAAGACAAGGATGCAAGAAGGAGACACATGAGGAGGAACCTGCAGGGATCCAGGGGGAGAATCTCAGTGACATGGACTGAGGTGGAGCCAGTGTAGGAGGAAATTCTGCAGGATTGCCTGACAGGTTGAAGAGGGGCATAAGAAATAGAGTGGAATTAGAAAAGAACTCCAAGTTTCTTTTGTTATTGTTGTTGCTATTGTTTTTCTTCTTCTTCTTCTTCTCCTCCTCCTCCTCCTCTTCCTTCTCCTTCTTTTCCCAGAGTGACTTAAAGGACTGAATTACTTTCAAGGTGGGAAGATCATAGGTGGATCCAGTTTGGGGATTGATATTAAAGTTTGCTTTTGGTTATTTGAGTTTGATTCCCAAGTAGAGACAGTAGGACACACTGGACCAAGAGTCTGGAGTTAGGAAAAGCAGGAGGTGCATATGTGGGACCATAAGCATATAGGTGGCTTTATGCCAGAGTCCGTATGAAGTCACCAAGGAGCTGTGGTGCAGATGGGGGGAAAGTGCGAGGACTGAGTTTCAGCCCTCCCCAGGAGGTGGGGGCCACAAGGAGGAGCCAGCAGAGCAGAGCAATGAGGGAGAAGTCAAAGGAGTGTGGTATCCTAGAACC